CCAGCATCATCCTTGTTTTTCTGCTCCAATATGAACCTGAAACAGTTGATAAAAGGGTACAACCTCAGACCCATGCCAAACAATGGAAACCAGAATAGTAAAAAAAATAATAATTAATAAGATCAAATGAAACAGAGAAACCATACAATTGCTCTTTGCAGGGCTTGTCACTTAGTCCAGTAATTTTGTACTCCTGGTTAGTAGGGATTGTTGTTATGCTTGAATTCTTCAGAACATGTTTTGCCCGAGTGGTTCAAATTATAATAGATTTTGTTTGCAATTGGAAAATACTCTTGATTAAAGAAGTGGTTCAATTAAACACATATGAGAGGTAGTCCATTATTTTTACACTCCTGCTTATCTCACTTGGTGCTTCTACTTACGAGAAAGGCAAAGACAATACGCTTTCTTCTTCGTTTAGCTGGAATTTTCTCTAATCTTAAGTTTGTCATACGTCAATTCACAACTAATTAACTACATATGTGAAGTTGTCAAGTGCTCACTCACCAGGGAGATTTTTTGGATGGGTGTAGTGTATCCCCTTATCAACTTCAAGAGTCGGGATGAAATCGTCAATGAACACGTGTAGGTTTGATTTTCCTATCCCAATTTTTGTAGCCAAATGTTCTAATAGCTTTGTATTAGATGGATCAAATTTTACACCAGCAGGGAGCCCAGGCTATTCATCATCAACCTGAATAGGAGGAAATTATGAGTTGAGTTGAAGTCTAAATTTTTACCTACAAAAGAATTATCATCTTCTGAAAATATATATGATATAGCAGATAGCACAACTGCCACAAATTCTCAATTTCCACTCAAGATTTTAAAGGTACGGATTAGGCTACATAGTTGCTTTGAGATATTAATCTCTCAATGAGCCAATTGCTTCACAAGAGAATTATCCACTGCTCAAGTATCAGAAAAAGGAATTTATATTGGCAAAACAATTTCAGCTTACATCACTATTATCAATTCGATAATGGCAATTTGGGCATTCACGACTCGCTCCACAATCTTTGATTTCAGATGCAGCAGCCAGGGTGGCATTTTTCACCTTCTTATAAAATTCTCTGCCATCAATTAGTCAACTCCTGCATTACTTACATAATAACTCAAACTATATAAAAGAAAGATACAGCAAACTTTAAGAAAATATAGTCAC